AAAAATATTAAAACAAAAATGTATCGTCTTTTTTGAAATTGAATAATTAATAATTTTAGACAAAAAAATATAATAAATGTATATTTCGTATATTAACGTTTCACATATATTTATTATTATTACTTCGCTTTAATTACATATTATTTTCCATATATATAAACAGTTTACATGGGCTTGTAGCTCCTTAAAAAAAAAAAAATATTTAATATATGTAATTTATTTATTCACGCATTTTGTATTTAATTTATATTAGAAAATATATTTTCCAAATATTCATTTTATTTCATCAAATTTCAGTTATTAATAAAACATTGACATTTACTCGAAAATTTTCTATTTATTTTATAATTTATTTTTTATTTTTATATTATATTATTTTATATTTTAAAAATATGCCAAAATGATATATTTTCAGTTTTTTATTTTAATTACATAAATATTTGAATAATAATTTTTATTTTTTAATCTGAAAAATGTCTGTGTCTTATATGTTGCCTTTAAAATATGACAATTCCTTTTATGCGGCTACTGTAATTTCTTGAAAGATAATACTGATATGTTATTTAAATAAGAACAGCTGAACTCAAAGTTAATATGATAAATGATATATAAAATTTAGAAGAGCAATGTAAAACAGAAATAAATCTTAAATAATTTAGAAATATTGGTATCAATGATAAATATATTTTTTCGTTAAGATCAATAGTTTTCAAACTCAAAGCATTATATTATATACTTATATTTATAAAAAATGTAATTTAGATATTTCTTTGTTTAAATTAACAACATATTCAGCATCAACTTCTGTGGAAATTTCCCTAGTGCAGGGTATCTGTCGGAAGCGGAAGTGACGTTGCAATTGAATTGTGTGCGCATTCTATGAGCTGGAACATGCTCAAACAGTTGCCCCCTGCTAGCTGAGCGTCTCTCGCGCTCCCTTCGGTCATGTTCACGTTGTGTTGCACTTTATGGCCAGCGAAGTGTGTCGATGGTAGCGAAAGTGAAACCGCTAAAAAGTTCAGAGTTGGCCCCTATTTGCTTCACGTTGTTGTTTTTTTTTTTCCTGTTAAAGCACATGCATTGTTAACAACTGCCAGGACAGCGCGCACCACCGTCCCGCAGCACATTGCGATGCCAGCCGGAAGTTTGTGGTGGGAAATTTCATTTATGCTGACACTTGACTTGGTCGAACTCGCCCTTTTGCTATGAAGCACCCTCGTCCGTCTGTCCGTCTGCCCGAGCGTCTGTCTGTCCGTCCCAATGGCTTTAATTTGCAGCAAATAAATAATGGAAACAGACGTTGAGTCCTGTGCCCGATTTACTGGCCATTTGGCCTTGACGGCAGCGCATTGCTACCAATTCTATTCAATTTGCTTGGCCAGCGTTGCTCGTATTATGCTTCAAGTTGTGCACTTTTTCCATTTCCTCTGCGAAAGCACAGTTGAGCGGAAGTGGAAGCGAACTTGCTGGGCGAGAGTGGCAGAGGGAGAGGTGTGTGGAGAGGTGTATAGAGACAAAAGGGCCACAGTCCAGAGCAGTCCATTGATTTTGTTGGTCTTTTGTGGTTGTCTTAGCTGCTTTTTAGATTTTTTCTTTATTTTTATTTTTGTATGCTGTGGCATTGAGCCGTCCATCGCCCAAGTTTGCCTTCGGCGTTAAATGTGACAATTTAATTGTTTGGTAATTGTTGGCCCTTTGAAGTAGACTTTGATTTATAGCCAAATTGAATAAATGCTAGATAATTGTTTGCTTTGCAGCTAGTGTCTAGTGTTACATTTGACCTTAATGCAATTGCTTTGGGCTAGTAAATTTAGCAAAGAGCATGGATTTATTTGATTTGTCTAACAATTTTAAGTCAGATATGCATGTATTTTTTACAACATTCAGTTCGATCAATAAGCTGAGGTTTGTTGTAAATTTGTGTGCTAATTAGAAACTTTTCAGTACAAAATTTGTTGCTAATTGCAGAGGCTTCTTTTAATTTAACTGATAAAACGATGTCAAGGTTGAATACAACTAAATATAGTTTTGCTTTGTGGTAGTAATATGCAAGAAGTGTAGAGGTTGTCGTAGCAGACAATATTTATTATATTATTATATTATTAATTCGGTTGTTTTTGGTTTTATGGGAAGCTAAGTCCATGTCATTACATCGCGCTAATGGCCACCACAGTGTTTCAAACATCAGCTCCATTTCGGATGACTCAGCTCAATATGTGTAGTGTTCCGACAGTAAAGCCTCGCCTTTTGGCCTTAATGTCTCATTAAGTAGTTGTTGAAGTAAACTAAGGACTTAAGTTAAGTATTGCTGAGTATTTATCATAAGATGACGAAGTCATAAAATTTGTGCCTCTTAACTTGAACTGAAGTTTTGCTTAAATGTAATAAACTATTTCCATGCATTTTAGAGTTATTTAATGAATTCATGTTAAATGGCTGATATTGTTTCATATTTCAATAGCTAAATATATTTAATAGCTTAAACAGCTATTGAAATATACCTTTTTAAAATTGCATCAATTTTGTTGTGTCAGCTTGCATACATAGACTCTAGCTAACCTCTTTCAAAATATTATTTAAATTAATTTTTTATATTTGCTATATTCATATTTTTGCAAAAGTTTACTTCAGGAAATTATTTAAATTATTTATACATTTTTATATATTTTTATATATATTTTTTCTAATATTTCATTAAAATTTAAGCGCATTACATCTTCGTGTAACTCAATGCCAACTCTTGTGTCTCGTTAAATCTTAAAATAATTGGATAAAGGTAAATGTTCTTAGATTCGCTTAAAGTTGTTATACAAAACTTTCTTTGCACAGCCTTCCGCAAGCTCTTTAGCTGCATTAATTTGAGCTTTGTGTGCTGCCTGCTTTTGGGCGCTAGGCAGCAGCCTGAATATTCGGCGTGTGAAACACGTCTAAGTAGTAAACAGAGGCAGCAGCTGAAACTTTTGTAAATGATTGCAATGCATGAAATTGGCTGGCATTCAGTTTAAGAGCAGGCGTTGTGGAATCAGCAGCAGCAGCGACGGCAGCTCGTGCCCTCGCACAGGCATAAGTTTTGCTCTGTTTCCTATGCTGGCGCGCAAATGAAGTTAGCAAAACTGATTAACTCTCGGCAGCAGCGGCAACACGAGTCTCGCTGCAGGTCTCGAGAGCTGCAGCATAATTGAATTTTGCACGCCCGAGTCCGACGGCTCGTCGCGCCCAGCCCGGTCTGGCCTGGCCTAATGCTAGTCTGCTTGATATAATTTTAATGAAATACTTGATGCATTTGCACTTGCATTCAAATGCAATTACAATTTTTGTTCAGCAATTTTTGCACCAATACTCGAATGGCTTAACTACGCACAAGTCACATAAATCTTGCACTAGCTGCCGCCACGCCCCCTGTGCGAAGTGGGCTAAAAGGTTCATCAGCTTTTAAGATTCAGTTGGTGTCACTCCATTTTCGACTTGGATCTGATGCCAGCCATTTCCCCAAGTAACGCCCACACTTGCTGCACGACACGCCCACAGCTAAGAGCCAGCAGTTGTAGTTGGCTGTGCTAATTCTGGCATTTGCCATGATAAATGGCGGCCACAACAAACATTTTTTAGAGCGCCATTCTGAAAAGAATCTACACAATTTTGCAAACATATTTTTATGCAGTATTTAAATAATTTAAATGGGCATATTAGCTTCATCTAAAATACCATGAGTTATGTAATTAAGCTTCATATTAGAGTCAGGTAGGAACTGCCCTTAGATAGGAGTTTTAAGTGTAAGATGCCTTGTTGGCAACTCTTTTTCGTTGCTTTTCCAGCGCATTACGCAGTCAGCTATGCCCGCTTTTTTGCCTTTCTCTTCTGCCATTGAAAGTTATGATTTTTCATAAATTGTGCAGCTGACCCTTTGGCACTTTCAACTGTTTGCTGTCCTTTAAGCCAGCTTACTTGGCCCGAGCTGCAGGTTCTGCATTCGCAACGACATCTCTGATGCACAGTCAAGGTAACTGGGCGTGGCACAGGGGGTGTTCGCCTAGCACTTGACGCCAAAAAGGGGGAAAAAAACTTAGCCAACTGTCTTGCTCTTGGCTTTGGCTTTGACATAAACACAAACTGGCCATGAATCTGTTTGGCGTCAGCTTATGCGGACTTGGGCGTGTGTGCTTAGATGTGGTTAACTTTTAAGTTTGACTAAACTTTTCTCATATGAAATTAATTATGTCGCTAATGAATAATTTTTTTGCCTCTTTTTGCAGACTTGGGTCACCATAGCAAAGGTAAGTAAAGGCAGAAAGTTTTTATGACTAAGACAAGCTTAATGAGAGGCTATTTGATGTAAGATTAATTAATAATATTTCTGACATGAATGAGAAAATATCTTAAGCTTAATTGGACTATATTGAATATGCTAGAGAGCTAATTATATTTTAATTAATTAGAGCTTAAGTTGAGCAAATATCAGCAGTAAAAAAGTAGCTTCTGCCACTTCTACGGCCTATTTTATGCTTATGAAATGTTTGAATAACTTGAAAGCAGCTTTCAAATTAAGCTGGAATCAATATAACGTCTTGTAGCTGTTATTTAGGGAATTTCTAATCAATTGTGACTTGATGCTATATGTGACGTGTTCTGATAGCAACTGCTGCTAGAGTGTGAGTTAATTCACTTTGCTGGCTCTGCCTCAATAATTGCTATAATTTCACAATATTTTCAATATTTTTACACATTAAGTATTTAAATGCTAATTTATTAATAAATGGCAAGGCACATTAACCTCTCAGCAGTTAAATAATATAACTTAAACTGACATGCAGTTATTAAATGATATATCACTATGGTCACTGTGATAGCTGAATTATCAAAAAAAAAAAAAAAAATTAAAGATAAATTGCATTAATTCATCATTGACTTGCCAACACAAATCCATCATAAAGCCAACTAAAAATATGCAAAAATAATAAAATATTCAACTTCTAATCCAGTTTAAATAAAATCAGGAGTACTTTTGCACTGCAGAACTGTGAAACTTTTAATCAGATAGTTAACTAAAAATGAGGCATTTTAAACTCCGTGTCTTCCTGTGTCTGTTTTTTGCTTTGATTTTGTTTATACAATCCCATTGATTTGATCTCGATTGCCTCGGTCAGCGCAGTGCGCTCAGAATCCATGCACCTTGAGGCGATCGGCCTTGGCCAGTCCCACCTTGGTCAGCCACTGGCAAATGTTCTCGCGCTGATCACCCTGCAGTTGGAGTACTTCGCCGTATTCGGGATGCTCAATGACGGTGCCGTTGCATGCGAATTCCTTTTTGCACGAGCGTACGATTTTCTTCAGATCGTATTCGGCTGACAGACCCTGTACTGTAGTTAGAGTTTTGCGTCCGTTGCGCTGCTGGATTCGTATGTGGACAAGGCCGTCCTGAATGTCGTCATCTGGTCCCTTGATGGCATCGGCGAAAGGATCGCGCGAGTTTAGATTCTGAATGGACATGCGAAGAGCTGTGCAGAAGTCGACGACTGCGAATAAGTGTCAAAGGATGCTGACGAAATGAATAACTTTTTTTTTGGGTTTTTTCTTTTATATTGACTTTTCGGAACGATTTAATTTTTTCTCTTTTTTTTTATATATTTTGTTAGCCTGTATATCGGAATTTTATGACTATTGTTTTTTGTATGGCAACCAAAATATTTAAATGGAGCACTGAACTACAGATAACATTATCTAAACCTGCTATGACTTAAATAAACCTCGATGCCCCAAACAATTTAATTGAGTTTCGATTTTCGATGGCAACCACCCGGCCTACTCAGCTCTGGCCCGTTTGTCGTTGCGATCCAATGAAAACTAATGAAGTCTGGCAAATTAGTGCGCAGCTTTCGCAGTTTTCCGCCCTATTTTCGCAGCGCTAATTAAAGCTAATAAGCTGGACAGATTTCTTTTGGCCCCAACCCCAACGCCACGGGCACTTTAAGTGCAATTATTATTCAATTTATGAAATTGAGCGGACTTCTTTTATGACTACATCAAATTCGATAAGTGCTGCCTGCTGTTGCTCTGCTCGTTCTCTTTGCTTATTGTGTGAGCTGTAAGAAAAACATAAATTCAATTTCGAAATTATAGCAAGGGGCATTCCAAGCATTGTGCGCTTTTGGCGCTGTTGCGTAACAAAATATGTTTTTTGCTTGATTAATTTTCTGCGGTTGCAAAAAAGCAAGCGAAAAAGATGTTAAACAGGCACGCAGTAGAAAGTAACGACTGAGTAATACGCTTTCTCGGCAGCTGAGAAATTGCTGCAGAGTAAATAAGTTTGGCTAGAAAAAGTTCGCTTGAAAATTTGATTTTGCAAAGTTTTGAGGCCTAAAACTCAGTTTATATAGCTTTTCTTTGTAGCTATATACATTATGTACAGCAAATTGTTTCCAGCTGAGATACAACTTTCTGCTAGACAAAGCACTCTCTCTTGTTAGGAGTATGCCATGCCTAAATGTTGTAGAGTATGCCATGCCTAAATGTTGCGTATTGATGCGCATTTTATGGCAACGGCGTAAAAGTAAAAAGAAATAGAAAAAACAATAGCGGGAGAGGAAACCAAAGGTAGCTGCGCAAGCACAAAATCAAATTACAAAATTTGCATTTAGTGTGAGTGAGTGCGCACAAAAATAGGCAACAAAAAAAAAAGAAGAAAAGTTTTCGTGCCAAATCACATGCATATATTTGCCATAGTCATAGCCACACCTGCTGTAGCTGCTGTTGATGCCGGTCTATAATTTTCTTTGTCAGACTAAATTAAAAAGTTTTCTGCGGCTGCCTCGCCTGATAATGAATCTGTCACGTTGGCCTGATGGACTCGAAACGAAATCCAGCTGGGCAAAGTAACATTGGCAATTTATCAGTCAGCTAAAACAAATTTGCATTAAATGCTCTGTACAGTTTTAATTGCTTATATGATGGCGGACATAAAACTCATTTCATGTCATATACGTAGCACTGTGTACCCGTCGGGCAGCCGAAAAAATGATGAATGCGTCGCGGAAACCGCGCGGCGAGCGTATGTGCGGCAAATAATGAAAAATTACACCCACACACAAGGACATGGCACACTAAACAACTAAAAACTGTTACACACGTACACATACACACTCGCACACACATACAGGTATGTGCCACTGCATACTTTTGGGCGCTGTAAAATATAAAATTCTATGAATTTGTACGTACATCATTTGAAAATCGTAAAAGTTGCAAGTGTTGCTTGTCGAGCGCACACACACACAGAGAGACTTGCTTTGTGTGTGGGTGTGTGTGAGAGCTGTCATAAACAGGCACAACAAAAAGGTAAACTTGGCTTTACTTTTATTATTCTCTTCTTTCATTTTTTGTGTGCCAAAAGCGCATACAGTTCTTTATATAATTATAATGCCTGGCCAAATGCTGTTGCCTCTAAAGAGCTCGACAATCATTCTGTTTGGCAAATGGAAAATTGAGTTGAGCAAAGCTGAAAAGCTGCCGTAGACGATTACACAATGCAATTTGCCTTGGTTATTTGCCCAAGTTTATGACTCCGCAAATTGTGCCAAAAATAATTTTATATGCTGCCGAGCCATGTGTAAGAATTTCTAATTTTCACTCAAGCAAATTAGAATTTCTCTGTGTGCTGGCGATTAAATTGATTAAATTTAAGTTAAATGCACGACATTTATGAATTATTTATATATATATATATATATATACATATATATATATATATATAGGGACATAGCACATCAATCTTAAACTTATTATGATTATGATACAACATAAAACTTATGGCTCAAATGGTCAAAATCATTTTTAAACAATAATGTCACAATTTGTTATCCCATATAGCTCGCTTGATATGTAAAATAAATTTCATTATTTGAATAGGACTTTAGCGATTGTAATTCAAAAAAAAAAAAAACATTCTTATATGAAAATTTGTAGCTTTTCGACAAAATGAAATATTTATATTATTCTTAGTAAAAACTTAAGTATGAGCTATTAGAAAAACAATATATTTATAATATTGCTAGTTTTCGTAAGAGTTTTACACAGAGAAATTGCAAGTTTTGTTGATGCTTATGCCAAGTCTCAACCTGTTTGTTTTATACTTTAACTCGACCTTCTCATCTTGTCCCCTCTTACTCTCTGCCACTTTTCCTCTTACTGGTATATAAATTGTGTACAAATGTGCTTAAAGCATCAATATTTTGAGAAAATGCTGAGCTCTTATTGTTTATAAGGAAAACAGTTCAGCTAAAGCAAAACAAGCCAACTTCAAACCAAGAACAAACAACTGGGACAGCTTTGACTTTAAGTCTTTTATTTCGCATATCAAGAGCTATGGACTTCTTTCCTTCTCTTTTCTTGCCCTTTCTTATTGTCAAATTGATGGCATATAGATATCAAAAACAATTTAATAAAAACCATTTCAAGCTAACACTCAATGCCATGTGCCATTTCATACTTCTTGGAACACTTATATCCATCTATATTTTATAATTATGATTACTATAAAATCTATGAATGCAACTTTGATTGCTATTAAAAGGTTTTTAGTGCTGCGCGTCTCTTGCTCAATTCCAATTTTTGTGTTGATTCAATAAATTTCGCCTGACAACTTAATCCTTAATTTCAAATCACTTCATGTGTAATGTGTGGCGGACACACAAGCTGGCTGCAGCAGGCAGCTGAACGACATAATCAATAATGAGATTAAATTGCAGGTTGACATGTGATAAACGGCACTTGTGATGTGGGCAACTAATGAATGCCATGGACATACGCACTCGTCGGCGCTGTCATTTCTTTTGCCATCGCCCGCCGTCTGTCAGCGTGCCTGCCTGTGAGTGCGTCAGACATTGGGGCAAACAAATAAAACCGATTTTATTGTAAGCCACAATGTCAAAACATTGCAGCGGATGTTTAGCCAAAGTGTTTGGGCCAGAGCAACACAACGTTGTGGCATGTGAGCGGGCAATTGAAGCTAGACACACATACAATCACGTGCTGTCATGTGTGTGTGTTTGTGACCTACCTGCACAGCTTTATCGCATGACACGCAGTTGTGCTGAAAATGATTTTACTATATTTTTTTTTTTGTTGTCCCTCGGGTAGCTTCCTTTAACGACACACTAAACCATAAAGTACTTATGCCGGGTAAGCTGACAGCGCAGAGAGGGAGGGGGAGAGGGAGAGGGCGACAGAGTGAGTGAGTGAAAAAAAAGGTTTGGGCTTCATTGATTTTCCATTGATAAATAGCTGACAGTTCACCCTTGCCGAGCGAGCGAGCGAGCCATGCACGTCAGGTTAAATAGTTTAAGACTGTCAGCCACATTAAAAAACAATTTCCGCTGAATCTCTTGCACGGAAAATGGCAAATTAGCGACAAAGTGACGTTGCGGAAATGAGTTGAGAGAAAAATGTGCATGCAAAATTTATGTAAAGCGATTTAACTCGCGGCTTAAGTTGAGCGTTGCAATTGAATTGAAGAGGCCACTTGATTTATCATGGGATAGCCAAATGAAAACCGCATCATAAATGCACAACAAACTCAAAATGAATTGGTAAATTATAAATTCTAACCAATTGATAAATATATAAGCAAGTTAAAGCGATTTGTGTGCGGGTCAATCAACTGCCCAGTGGCTTAGAGGGAACATGTCACGCGCATAATGTGCGTCCTACGGCACTCGCATAAAACTCTGGTAAGCAAAAAAAATATAGAGAAAATCTCAAAGAAATATTAATAAAAGATGAGCGACATTAGTGTCTGCTTCTTCTTCTGCTTCAGTCCAACCCAAAAATCGTAAAAGTAGCAAACAAAAATAAAGCGAAGAAAAAACGAAAGAAAGAAAGAAAGAAAACACTTTTTACTACATCCTTTGAAACTGAATGAACACCTCCCGCTGCCCAACCTCCAGCCGCTAGCAGTTTGCATTGGCTCTCATCTAACCTCGAGCGTTTTGTTGACCTTTTTTTCTTTCGCTTGGGCAGGAACGAAGATGCTGTTGGCTTTTGCTTTAAAGCATTTGCCAGAATGCAAAAGGAGAGAAAATGCCGTAAAATTTGTAACACTTTTTGGGGCTAGACGTTGGCATGCCGAAGATGGCGACACACACAGACACCCATACAGACACAGACACAGACACAGACGTTCTGCTCGAGCTGTTTTCTTCAACGAAAAAGTATGACACGAAACAACAACAATAAAGCCAAGAAAAACAGGCACATCAAAATTTGGCCCCAGGCACAATTTGTCACACATACATGCCACATAAATTATATATGTGTAGTCGGACTGTCTGTGTGTGCGTGTGTGTGTGTGTGTTTGTTATGCCGAACCTATTTGATTAATAAATTGTTTAGAGCGCGCGCTGAGCAATGACCGAAACTTACTGACTTGTGGCTAATAAAATATGAATGCCGCAACTTTTCAGTGGCAGCATCAAAAGGCGAGACGCACACACACACACACACACATCCGCTTCGCAAATTAGTCATGCGCATATAAATATTGCTTGTAATTTATGTGCCGCCTTGATGTGTATGTGCGCCTCAAATGGAGCGCACATTTAACCTCAGTTAGCATTTGCATTTGGACGCATATGTTTTCGGCGCAGAACTGATTCGGCTTGACAGGGTCCGCACTGCGTATACGTAATATAAGTTTCAGCTACTTTTTGG